TGCTTTTCCATTTGCTTTGGCATCTATCTTTTCACATTGGATATATTTTCTGAAATGTTTGGGGATACTTCATGGGCTACTCATATTTATGAGTAAGGTACTAAGAAGCTGAAATCACTGTATTGTTTGAATAGCAATTATCTACTGATAAGAGACTGGATTTAAACTGTGGTTTTTATTTTTTTTTTTTAAAGCAAGATAGTTTTTATTGAATGAAACTTATTTAGAAAGATCTGAAGGGATAGAAGGAGAGGAAGTATGTGTTCAGGAGAGTACACAGGCTTCTCTAGAGTGGAAAAAGCAAGCAAAGATACATAGACAGGCAAGCGAGATACTTGTATAAGGGAGAATGCAGGCTTAAGAGCGAAACTAAACTGAATTTGTGTGTGTGTGTGTGTGTGTGTGTGTATGTGTGTGTTTTGCAGTGCTTGGGTTCAAACCCAGGGCTTCATATGTGCAAGATAGGCAGACACTTTACCACCACACTTTACCACATCCTTGTCCCTTTGAACTGTTTTTTTAGTTGGAAATATTCCTATGTCTCTATTGTCTGAGTGGTAGTGCAGCGGGTAAGGCGCTTGTCTTGCATGCGGTTGACCTGGGTTTGGTGCTCGTACCTCATAGTTCTGTGAAGGAGTTCCACCAGGAGTAAGACTTGAACACTGCCTCTTCTCTTTTGCGGGGGTGGGGGGTGGGGTGTGTGATATGGGGACTCACACCCAGTGGTGCTCAGGGAAGGTTACTTCTAGCTCTGTAATCAGGAATTACGCCTAGCATGCTTGGGGGACCATATGGGATGCCAGGGATTCAGCCCTGGTTAGCTGTATGCAAGGCCAGTGCCCTACCTGCTATACTGTCACTCTGGTCCCTGGAGATGGCTTCTTTAGTCAGGACTATTAGATTTCTCCAGATAAACATTCTCTGGTTTTCTGATCAATTATTATCTGTAAGCCCTGAGCACTGGTGGGTGTGTTGCAAATACTGTTGCCAGAAATACACAAATATTGTTGCCAAACAATTGGAATGTATTTATTATAGATTTAGATTCATGACAAGGTCTCTGCTTTTATATATAATGTTGCAAGAATCATCATTTCTAGGATTATTGAGTAACAATATAGAATCCATCACTAAAGACTTCCAACTTTGTAGCGAACCACTTGACCAAGATGTGGGGAGGAAGGAAAAGTCTGCAGGGTATGACTACTGTATGAGCTGGGCATACCTGTGGAGAGCTGGGCTTTGGAGAGCTGGGCTGGGGGCCCAGAGCCCACCCTCCATATTTTCTCCATGGAGTGTTTCTGATTTTTGGCTAGGAGGGAAGTAGGCCCACTAAGAATATTTTTGGTGTTCAACAGAAAACTCTCCTCAGAAGAACTAGAGCGAAAACGACAAGAGATGATGGAAAATGCCAAGTGGCGGGAGGAAGAGAGGCTGAACACCCTCAAGAAGCACGCAAGGGAGGAGGAGCGGGAGCAGAAACTCGAGAAGCTGGACACCCGGGATGGGAAGTTCATCCAGTGAGTGCGCCTTTCCTCTTGCCTAACAGCATCTCCCAGAGGGGTTAAAGGAGGCCGTGTGCAGCCTTCATTCCAGATGCTCCTGGGTGGGTCTGTCTTCAGAGCTATGGGGCTCAGTCTTCATACCACCTTCGTTACCACTCCCAGCTTCTGGACAGCTGGATTCACAAGGAGAAGTGAATCGTATCTTAGTCTCCGGGTTTTTTTATTTGAGGAACTAGTGCTCAGGGCTTGCTCTTGGCATGCTTGGAATATAGAACCGGAGTTGGCTGCATGCACATTGGGCGCCTTAAACACCCCCTCCCCCCATGCTTCCTCTCTGGCCTCAAAGAGCTTGTGTTTCGATAGCTGCTTTATGGTTCACAATCTGTTTCTTCTCTAATTCCCTAATAGTTGACCTACTGACAAACGTTACTGACTCTGGCCTGTCTTCTCTTCCTAGCCGCATGAAGCTAGAGAGCACATCCACCTCCTCCCTGGAGGACCGAGTAAAACGGAATATCTACTCTCTACAGAGAACCTCAGTTGCACTGGAGAAGAACTTTATGAAAAGATGAAAATCATCCTTTGCCAGTTTTCCTGAATTTTCCAGGAAGGCTGTTGATGCCTTAGAAATTCTCTTTATAAGAGTTTGAACACCTTTTTTCACAGATGTCAAAACACCACTGTTTAAAGTGACTCTCCTCCATCACTTCTGGAAACAGTGCTACATCATTTGAGAAAACAGTGTGGCTTGCTTTATGGACTGTCTGAGATCACTGGTACCTTTTGCTGTGGGGAGAGAGCGTTTGAACTGTTTTGCTAAGGTTGGGCACTGGACCATCTAGGGGTGATCACTCATCCTGCTGCGAGCTGATTTTTGGTGGCACCAGGATGGAACCCAGAGCCTCACTTTCCTAAGGCAAGTGCTCTTCCACTGAGCTGCATCCCCGGCCCTCATCTTTCTCTGGAAGCTGCTGCATGTCATCCTTGTACCTGTGTGAACAGCTTATTCCATTGCCTCCTTGTAGACAGAACATTTCCCACGCTTCTCTTTCCAGTCACTCAGATTGTGATTACCTGGGATAAATGAACATTGGCTTGTATCAGAGGATATGTACAGAAAGATGTCAGGTCAGAGTAGCTCCAGAGGGCTGACAACTGGAAAAGAATACAGAAAACCCCTACCTGAACCATCTGAACTATCTATTGAACTGCAATAATGTAGTGTGTATGTGTACAAATGTATACTTTTTTCATGCTTTTTAAAAAAAAAAGTTAGCTTTGTGAAAATATTTTATCAGTGACTTTTACTATATAATAGAGCCATATTGAATCTTATGATACAGTAAGGCAGGACAGCTCTTCTTTTTTATTCTTCTGTAAATCTGACTAGGGGTGCCTGGATTTGATAGGTGAAGGGGAATCTATCCTTTGATGTGGTTTAGATCTTCCTATGGTGGTGAAGTGGGAAAATGAGTTTAGAAGTCAGGACCAAATTGTCAGTATATTCCCTAGCTCTTGGGAGAAAACATAATGGAAGCTATTTATGTCACACTACGTGATAGAAGGATGACTTTTATCATGTAGTATCTCATAATTCTACATTTTTGGGAGTTGTTTACTAATGTTTTTAAGTATTAAAAATCATGGGGAGACCAGAGATAGTACAGCAGGTAGGGTGCATCTCTTACATGTATCCCACCCCAGCACCTCATATGGTTCCCCAATCTCTAACAGGAGTGATCCCTGAGCAGGAGTAGGCCCAGAGCAGAGCTGGGTATGTGCCCCCACCTCCCCCGGGCCAAAAAAAAAAAAAAAACCACAGTAACTCTTGGCTTTAATCTTCTGTGGTTTTTCTTTTTTTAAAAAATTTTTTATTAATCACCATGAGGTACAGTTGTAGACTTACAAACTTTTGTGCTTGCGTTTCAGTTATGCAATGATTGAGTACCCATCCCTCCACCAGTGCCCATTCTCCACCACCAATGATCCCAGTATCCCTCCCCTCAACCCCATCCCCTGCCCCCACCCCCACCCCGCCTCTGGCAGGGCACTCCCTTTTGTTTTCTCTCTCCTTTTGGGTGTTGTGGTTTGCAATAGAGGTATTTAGTGGCCTCGTGTTTGGTCTATAGTTTACTTTAGCACACATCTCCCATCCCGAGGGTCCTCCAAACATCTTTTACTTGGTGTTTGTTCCCTTCTCTATCTGAGCTGCCTTTTCCCCCAGCATGTGCGTCTAGTTTCCAAGCCATGGAACAAACCTCCTGGTACTTATCTCAACTATTCTTGAGTTTCTGTGGTTTTTCTAATCTGTTCACCAGAAGACCTTATTTGACCCACAAACTTCTAGGTTTTTGCGCTTGTGTGCGTGTGTATGTGTGTGTGTGTGTGCGCGTGTGTTTGGCCACATCGAACAATATTCCTGGCTCTGCACTCCTGGCAGTGCTCAGGGAACTATATGAGATGCCAGGGATTAAACCCAGGTCTGGCACCTACAAGGCAAATGCCCTACCTGCTGTACTATCACTCTGACCCTGCTACAGATCTAGACCAGCTAATATGTGGATCATATTAACAGGTCTAGGTCTGTGTTCTGCTGACTTCTAATTCTGATGCTGCTTAAACTGAATCTGAATTTTTATTTTTGAGCATTTATGATTCCGGGCATTGTAATGCACGTCCCTCTTCAGAGAAAAAGTAATATGCAATTGTTATTCATTTGATCATCTTATTCTGTTTCCCTATGATATAACTTTTATTATTTTTTTTGTGTATGTGACACTAGGCTATTGTGTTTACTGCTTGGGCCTGGCTGTGATCAGGGGAATAAGCCGTGAACCTGAACCTCCTCTAGGCAGAGCATGTGCCCTCGCCATACTGTCTTTTCCCTAGCCCAATGTCTTTTCTTATTTTATTACTTGGTAATAAAGTTTACATTTATTTTTGTAACCGTTTAAAGAGCGACCACGTGCAAAGCACCAGATTTACGAGTTCCCATATCCAGAAGGATAGTGACCCCATAATTTGTGCGGAATATACACAGAGACGTCATCCAAAGAGGAGTCAGTGCATCAAAGTGTAAGCAGTTTGTTCAGATTCCCTGAAGTCAAGAAAAAGACTACCGCGACCCTCTGCGGTAGGAGAGGTGTGTTCAGTGGCCGGCGGGATCTCCAGGCGACCCTCAGGCCGGAGCCAGCCGGGCGCAGGTGAGTGGGTGCAGGGCCCATTCATAAAACCCAGGGCTCCCGGCCGGCTCCGCTCATTGGCCCGGAGGGAAGGGGGCGTGCCCCGCGGGAGGCGCGCGCCGAGGACCCGGGGGAGTGGGCCGATCCACGGCGGGTGGAGCGAGGGGGCGTTCCGCCGTCTCGCCGGCAGGACTTCCTTTTCCCGCGGCCGAGTTCCTCCGCGGCCCCCCGGGGCGGGGATGGTACGCGCCAGCCCCCTCGCCTTCGCGCCCCGCCCGCCCTCCGGAGCCGTGGGGCCGCCGCCATCTTGGCGCGTCGGGCGGCGGGAGCGAGCCCGGCCCTGGCGCGGCGGGGCCCGCGCGGGAGGCGCTCCCGCGAGAGACGGCGAGAGCTGCCGGGCGCTGCCTGCTCCCCGCCCCGGCACGCGGCTCGGCGCGCGCGGACGCCGGCGGGGCGCTGTCAGGCCCGGGGAGGAGGGGCGGGAGGGTGGCCGCTGCCTCCCCGGGACGGGCCGTACCACCCGGGCGGGGAGGAGCGGGCCGGGGGCGGGGCGGGGCGGGAGGTAGCGGGCCGGGCGCGACCATGGCGTGCTGAGGCGGCGGGGGTGGGCTCGGTCCGGGGGAGGCCTGGGGCCGCGGGCTTGTGCGCCGTCTCGGCCACCCCCTGTCGCCGCCGCCGCCGCCGCCGCCCCGGGCATGTCGTCCAACTGCACCAGCACCACGGCGGTGGCGGTGGCGCCGCTCAGCGCCAGCAAGACCAAGACCAAGAAGAAGCATTTCGTGTGCCAGAAAGTGAAGCTATTCCGGGCCAGCGAGCCGATCCTCAGCGTCCTGATGTGGGGGGTGAACCACACGGTAACCAGCTCCCCCGCGCGCGCCCCCACGCCCCCCGGGCGGGCCCCCTCCCCCCGGCCTCCTGCGTGTGCTCGGCTCGCGGCGGGCTGCCCCGGGGGCGCGGGCCAGGCCTGGGGGCGGCGGGCTCGCGCCCCCCGGCCTCGCTCCGCGCCCACCCGGCTGCTACCTGGGTCCCGCCGTGGCCTCGCTCGCCGGCCGCCCTCCCCTGACCAGGCGATCGCACCGATCCGCCTCGGTAGTCCCCGATTTCTGTGGTCTGGTGACTGGAGTCGGGCCCCCCCCCGCACGCCCCCACCCGACCTCGTTCCCAGGGGAAGCCCTGCCCGGGTTTGCTTTTTCATTTCTTCTGGAGCAAGATGTATCCACTGGCACGGGCTTCCCTGAATCACACGCGCGCGCGACCTGGGGCTCCCTGGGTGCGGGAGAAGAGAGGATGTGGCCATCGGAGAGGCCCGATGATCAGGACTGTGAAGGGTAGAAATCAGGTGTGTCTCTCTGTCGTCTCCTGAAGTGCTCTGTCAAAGGCCTGGCCCCCTTAGTCCAGAGCTGTGGGTTGTGTGGGGTGGGACTGAACCGGAGTGGGTTGGATGGGGAGAAGGATGAGCCAGAGTGGACTCCTGGGGCCTGGGACTGCTTGGAGATTGGCCTGCAGCCCCTCTTAGGAAATCAGAGCCCAGCGCTGTGTTTGTGCTGGAAAATTTTACATATGACTTGTTTCGGGGCTTCTTCCTCTTCCAGCCACTGATTCTCTGACTTCTTAACCATTTTGTTGGCAATCTTGGTACCAGGAATGAGCAGAGCCTCAGAAACACTAGAAAAACTAACCACCAATAGAATGAGGACGGTGAAGCTAATAGATAGGGCTTCCTGTTGATTTCAGTTATTGTTATTATTATTATTATTTTGGTTTTGGGCCACACCCAGCAGCGCTCAGGGTTTACTCCTGACTCTGCATTCAGGGATCACTCCTGGCAGGCTCAGGGGAATATATGGAATGTGGGAATTGAACCCAGATCAGCCACATGAGAAGCAAGCACCTCGCACACTATTATCTCTCAGGACCCTGGGTTTCAGTTCTTTCGGCTTTGTGACTTTTCTGAGAAGTTTCCTCAAAGACCAAAAAACTGGGCCAAGCACCAGTAAGACTGCTTTGCTTTGATAGAGTCTTTGGCGATTGATGAACTACAGTCTGCGACCCTAGTTTTAGATCTTTACATTGAGACAGAAAAGTAACATGTGTATGTTGAGGTCTTTGTTGATTGATTGGCCTTTAGATCTTTACATTGAGATAGAAAAGTAACATGTGTATGTTGAGGTCTTTGTTGATTGATTGGCCTCCGGAGAGCGTTTCCAGGCCCTTCCTGGAGGTGGGGATTCTGGCTCTGCTTTGGAACATCACCGGTTTCATGACCAGCAGAGTTTGTTCTTCCTGCTTTCTGCTGCCTCAGGGGCTATCTCACAAAGTTACAAGGAACAGTGGGTCATCAAAATGTGAACCCCATATTCCTGCATGGATGGCAGCCTCTTAATTTTGTTCTTCAGCCTGCTTCCTAAAGGAAAGTTCCCTGTCTGATGAGGTGTTGGCATCAGGACTCTTAGCGCTAGCTTGGAGGGACCTGGGTCCCGATTTCCTACTTAAAGCAGAGGAGGTTTAGCTTACCTCTGGGCATAGCAAAAGATGCCACTCAACTGTGAGCACTGAACACTGTGTGCCTGAAGTCAAGAACGGTTGACTCATCCCTGGGCCCCTTCTGTGTTCATGTTATGGACTTAAGTGGAAGGTGTTACTCCTTTTGCTTCTTGTTCCTTGTCGTAGCTCTCCTTCCAGTGCCAGGATCGCCTAGCAGTCAGTTCTTGCTTGAGACTCTGAATGCACACTCGGGGATGTGGGCCTGCGCGTGCCAGTTTTTGGGGGTATGATTGGGCCTCGGCTTCAGCATCTTTCAGCTGTGAGCCTCCAGGGGAAGCTTCTGAATGACAGATGGAGAAGTGTCTGTGACTCCCACTCACTTGGACTAGCAGTCACCTCTTTCTTTGCTAATGTTAAGAACGTTTGTTTGAAGGGTCAGAGTGTTAATACAGTGGGTAAGGCATGTGCCCCTGCACCACATATGGCCCCCCAAGCACCACCAAGAATGACCCCTGAACATAGATGATGATGTGGTCCAAAACCGCTCCCTGCCCAAGTTTGAGGGCTCACTGGCAAGGCACTGGCTTTAAGCCCTGTGCCTCTGATTGTAAGGGGTGGGCGCCTGGGAAAATACAGTGGGTGTGGGTGCTCCTGCCAGGGTCAGGCTGAGCTGTGGAGGCCAGTCAAATCTAGCTGCTTCATCTTGACCTGCAGTAAATTCTCCTACTTAAAAGTCCTCATGTGAGATCTGAAAGCATCTTCCCAAATGAGTATAAAATCCTGTTACTCTCAGGGGTCTTGAGTTTCCTAGAGATCTCCACACTGTCTCAGAGGGTACTTGGCAGAAACCCACGGTCACTGTGTGTTGTAATCTAAGGTTCCAGATTCCCATGCAGCTTCCTTGCTGATGTGAAGCCTTCCCCTTCGCGGCACTTGTTGGTAATTATGTGTATTTGGGAAACTATCAGCCTAGTTTTCAGAGAATCTGTACCGTTTAATGTTTCCACGAGCAATGTATGGGAATGTTAGTTTTACCACTCCTTACAAACTTGTTATCTCTTGTGTGTGTGTGTGTGTGTGTGTGTGTGTGTGTGTGTGTGTGCGCGTGCAGGGGGTGTAGTAAGGGACTACTCCCAACTCAGTGCTCTGGGAGTTCCTTCTAGTGATACTGGTGTGTGTTTGGGGGTGTGGGGGGGCACGCTGTTTGGTGCCTGGGATCAAATCTGGACCTGCTGTGTGCAAAGCCTGCGTTCAGTTCTTCATATTATTGTTCTGGCCCCGTTGTTTTGACTTTTTCTTTAGTTTTATTTTGAGGGGACATACCTGTCAGTGCTGAGATTGGGGGTGCTGCTCCCAGCTCTGTCATTTTGTTCTTTATATTCAACCTATTAAGTGCAAAGTGGTATTTCATTATAATTTTGAGGGGCCAGAGTGACAGTTCAGTGGATAGGGCTGACCCAAATTCAATCTCCGGCACCACAAGTGGTTCCCTGAGCCTGCCAGGAGTGATTCCTGAATGCAGAGCCAGGAGTAAGCCCTAAGCACCGCCAGGTGTGTCCCCAAAACAAAAGCATAATTTTGATTTGCTTTTCTGCTGCCGCTTATGATATTAATAATAAACATCTTTTCACATGGGTATTGGCCATTTGTGTGTATATTTTTGCTTCTCTCCCCCCCCCTTTGTTCTTATTGCTACGATGCTGGGACTTGCACATTTGGTCTTTGAGCTCACACGTGGTTGCAGTAGCTGGTGCTTATGCACGTTTTGGTGTCGCTGAATTGAACTCAGCATGTTGGGTAGCATGAAGAATCAAACTTGGGTCTTTGTGACAGCAAGACATCCACCACTGCCACTGGGCTTGTTAGGAAATTATCTCTTGTCCCCATTTGTATAATTTTATTGGATAAGTATCTTTTAAGATCCTTTGCACATTTTAAAAAGGTTTTCTCTGGGGCCAGAGAGATAGTGATCTAACCTAAGTAGGTTAGATCCCTGGCTTCACATATGGTCCCTAAGCACTACCAGGTGTGGAGCCCAGGGCCTCACACATAGAATGTGCATATTTTACCTCAGAGCTCCATCCCCAGCCCGCCTTACTACTTTAAACATAGCTTGAGTGATAGGAGTGATAGTTCAGGGGGCAGGGCATTTGCCTTGCATGTGGCCAATCCAGGTTCAATCCCTGGTATCTGATACGGTCCCCTGAGCACTGCCAGGAGTGATTCCTGAGTGCAGAGCCAGGAGTAACCCCTGAGCATCGCTGGGTGTGATCCAAAATGCCGAAATAAATAAATAAAATATATATGCAGAGGGCAGAGAGATTGCTTCAGTGACTGCATGCACTTTGTAGGATGAAGACCTGGGTTCAGTCCCTGGCACCATTTGGCACCATTTGGTCTCTGAGCATCACCAGAAGTGACTCCAGAGCAAGGAGCCAGTAGCCTCTGAACTTCACTGGGTGTGGCCCCCAAACAAACAAAAAAACCCAACAGTGATAAACTATAGTCCAGATACACAATAGAATCTGACTCAGCTGTGAGGAAAAGATAAAATCATGCAGTTTGCTGCTGTACGGATAGAACTAGAGGGGATCATGTTGAGTAAAGTCAGCCAGGAGAGGGACAAACAGAATGCTCCCTCAGATGTGGACTATGAAGAAACACAGTAAAGAAATAACAAATGGCCCAAAGCAACAGAGTCTACACTGGTCTTCAGAGCTGAGCTTACCATGGGGGGAGATGGTGTTTGGAGAGGGACCCCGAGACCATGGTGGAGGGAAATACTCTCCTGGGGGGATATGGTATGACAATGTTGTATGCATGAAGCCCTGTTGCAGACAGCGCTGTAAACCACCATGAGTTAAATAAAATTTAAATGTAAATCACGACGAGTTCAATTCAATTGAAAAAAATACAAAAAAGCAACAAAACAAACCCCAAAACTGGTGTATAGGGGGTTGGATGATAGCACAGCAGGTAGGGTGTTTGTCTTGCACACAGCTGACCTAGGTTTGATTCCCAGCATCCCATATGGTCCCCCAAGCACCGCCAGGAGTAATTCCTGAGTGCAGAGCCAGGAGTAACCCCTTAGCATCGCTGGGTGTGACCCAAAAAGCAAAAAAAAAAACAAAACCCTAAACTAAACAACTCATAGGGCAGGTTAGTTTGTGTACTTCACTTGCCCGAGTCCCTGGGTTCAGTTCCTGCCACCCCCACAACTAAAGCCACAAATCCCCAGGAAGTAGTCTCCAAGTGGCACCTTTGAATGAGTTTGTCCTTCACCTATTCACTGAGAACCCTGGAAGAAGGAAAAGCAAATGGTCAAAAGAAAGAACCCAGCCTAACTGGGTTTTGGCGCCTGTGACTCCCT